CCCGGCGGGCTGTTCAGCACGCCCGCTCGGCAGGTTGGGTCTGAACCTCACTGAGTTTGAGAAGTGACGGCACAGTACGTGTTCAAGACTGCATTTTGACTCTTTATGACATTCCTGCAGTCCATCCATCTGTGAATGCTTTAATATGAAAGTCGGTTTATCATTTCTGACACACAGCATGAATCCAGCATGAATCCATTTGTCTCCCAAGATTTGCCTTCTTGGTGTCCAGTTTCGAGGTGCCCCCATGCCTCCTTTGCCTCCATCCAGTATTTGAAATCGAACCCCCATCAGCCCCCCCCCCCCAGGAGGAATTGTCTGCAGCAGGCTAAAAGGCTGTAGAAATGTGAGCGCTTTTGTAAGGACCAAATGCTTTTGTGCACCAAAAAATCCCCCCCCCCTCCCCGGCTGCTTTAGAGCGTCTAAATGCAAGCACATGGGAGGGTCTGCACAGAGGGAAGAAAGTAAGCTGAAGGCAAAGAAAAAGGGACAGACCCCAAGGGATAACTTCCCGCTGATGTGCTGGGAACCAGGAACCCAGATCTGCACAGATGTGCAAAGCTTGTTGCTTTCAGGTTTCCCCTGAAATTCACGGCGGCCTCTCAGGTATTTTCTCAGATGGCGGCAGGGGTGAGCACGGTGGGTCTGCCCTCGCTGGCCCCATTCCACCTGCCCGGCGGAGGGCTCTGCTCAAGGCCTCCTGTGCACAGGGAGGGTGCAGACATCCCCAGCTGGCTGGTTTGCACCTTGTTTGTGTACCTTGTGCCTGCTTCGTTCTGCCCCCGGGGGTCCAGGCCTGGCTGTGGCAGCAGTGGGCCGGGGGTCCTCTGGGCGTGGCTGGCTGCCCCACGCGACCCACCTAGCTCCAGGAAGGAAGATGCTGGAGTGCCGGCCATCGCCCACACTGTAGTCACACCTTCCTGATGTGAGAACCCAGTCAATACTCATATTTTGCCTCCCTGTCTTTTTCTTTGTGCAAATGTGTGGCAAACTTTAAAAATTCATCTTAGAAGCCTGAAGGGGCCGCTCATTTCGTCTCACTCTTTAGTCTTTGCTCCTTGGCCCTGGGCCGGCAAAGCCACGGCTCTTTCTCCTTGGCCAGCGCCAGACCTTGTCCTCAGCGCTCCACTTTGGCCGCTTCCGTCGCTGTGTCTTTTCCAGACACAAGACGTGGACCTGCAGATGCGAGCCTGGCGCCGTCGCCCTCTCCTGATTTCTTTCCCACTGGTATTCACGCGCCACGTTGGCCATACGGCCAGCGTGAGATGTGCTCCTTCTCTTGACAAAAACAGATGACCTGAGCCCAAGTCACTCACCCCTGCTGGCGTCGGCGTTTCACCTCTCGGTCCTGAGTCACACACCTCTCGACCCCGACGGAGATCTTTCACTGCTCTTACTGGGTTTTATTCTTGTGACACTCTTGACAGGAAGGTACACACTGTATTTTCTCCCCATTTTACAGACAAAAATGGGGAAGGACTTCCCAAAGGTGGGGTCCAGGTAGAGAGTGCCCAGGGGTGTGAATGGAGGATGCCAATCCAGTCAACTCTTCTTACTGAGGTGAAATTCACATAACACAACGAACCATTTAAAGTGTACAATTCAGTGGCATTTAATGTGTTCACAGTATTATGCCATCACCACCTCTGTCTAGATCTAAAATCTTTTCCTCACCCTAAAAGGAAACTCTGTACCTGTTAGCACTCACTCGCATCCCCCCAGCCCTGGACGTCACCAGTCTACGTTCTGTCTGTGGATTTGACTGTTCCGAACATTTCATATAGATGGACTTGTACAACATGTGACCTACGGTGACAGGATTCTCCCACTTAGCACAGCGTTCTGGGGGCTCACCCACATTGTAGCATAAATCGTACTTTGTGTGGCTGAGTAACAGTCCATTGAACAGACATGCCGCGGTTGGTTTATCCACGCCCCTGTTCTGGGCGTTGCGGTGGTTGTACCGTGTAGTCGTTGGGAACCTCTGTGAACAAGTTTTTGTCTGTGGTAGCTCTTGGAGGAACCCCATTTGTGCATCCTGAGTGACTTACAGCATCATTTTCCTGTGACCTCACAGCCTCGCCCCCTGCTTCCTTCATGTCTTCTTGGGGACACTGACCGTACTGTGGACAGCTGGCATGTGTGTTAAGCAGACTGGCCAGGAGACGGGTTGGGTTAACTTGCTGGCCCTTGAGCTGCTGGTTCTGGGCAACACGAGAAGGGGTGGGGCCGCGGGGTGCCCTGTGGGGCAGGGATCAGGCCCTCGGATGTCATGGCTTTCCTGATAAGACGCTGCGTCTCTCCTGCCGGACCTTTCTGTTCTTAATCTGAGGATGCTTGGTTCTGTGGCCAAAAAGGCAGTCCCTTTAGCCCGAGCGGCTGGTGAATCTGTGAGGAGGACCAAGACAAGTGCTGGGCAGAGTTGGCCGGCGACACTGTTTCCCTAAGTCGTGCTTGCTGGCTTGATTAAGTAACACCAGGCTCTGGGGTCTGTCTGAACAGGGGGCCGTCTCAAGTCAGCAAGTGCTGCTTTAAATACAAGTGTTGATGTGTTTTTTTTTTCTTTTTGACTCCAGTTTTTTTCTCACCATTTCTGCTTGAATCCTGTAGTGCTGAGACGTTGATTACGAACAGCAATTTTACAACAACTGCAATTTTGTAAACAGCAGCTTCGTTTCATGAAAGCTTCCCAAGTATAAATGCTGTTTATGTCCTTCCCCTGGAAGTCTCACACCCTTCCCAAAAATGTAAATTATAAGCTGTGAAGAAAATACGGGGCTCGCACAGCTTGGCGACGGCTCTTTCCCCAGGATCACACCTAACACTTATGCACCCCTTAATAGGCACTTGCTCATGTTTTCCAAAGTGGTTGCTGTCACAGAGCAAGAAAACAGATTATTTTTTATGCTCGTCTAACTGTTGTTTAACCGAAGGTGAAAGCTCTAAGGATATAGCTTAGCAGACCCGGTGATCTCATCAACTGATGTAAAAGAAAATGAAAAAGATTATCCATGAACGAGGAGACCAGGGAGCACGGTGAAAGCCTCCCTTGGGTTTACCTAAGAAGGGTTCACGGGAGGCTCCTGTATCTTGTGTTGACATCACTCTCAAAGTCCCTGTAATGCAGAGATGATGGGTATATTAAATCCTTATCTTGTGACAGAGAAACTGAGGTACAGCCGTGGGCCTTGTCTAAGTCAGGTGGTTGGCCAAGGGGGAGCAGAAGGCTTAGCGGGGTCGCTGCGTACGGTCACGTAGGCTGTGCACCGCACAACTCCAGGGGGTACCACCAGGGTGAATGAGGCCCCCTGGAGTCACACACCTCAGCTGCCTGGCTGAGCTCCTGTTACCAGAAGCTCCCCTCCCCGCCTTCCAGCCCAGTGCCCTCACTTGGATGGATGCTTCTTCGTTCTTTTGGAATGAACTGTGTCGTTATTTCCCTAATAAAAGGCATTGAGGGTGATATAACTACATATCTACGTTTTCCCAACTACCTGTCTCCAACAGTATTATAAAGAAGCATAAAGTAACATCGTGTTATAAACTCAAACTGACCCCAGCGCTATCACGTGGCGGCCCTGAGCCTGACACTTGGGCTGATGGGAAGGACGGTACGTGAGCCTCCGCCGCTGCTGGCACTGGGAGACAGCGTTCTGTCTCTGGAGAGGAAGGAGCTGCTGTGTCGTGTGCTGATGGCGAGGCCTGGTGCGCTTCACACATGCCATCCGGATTAATATTCAGGCCGCCCCATGGGACGCAGGTTTTACATCCGGGTTGTCCAGGTGGGGAGGGCAGTTCAGTTGCTTCGTCCAGATCTCTTGCTGCCGGCAGACCCGTTGGCATTACGTGGCTGGCGTGGACAGGCTCCTCGTCTCCTGCTGGAAGGAGTTGAGAGCTGTCTGGGTGGAAGTGCTTGGTGTCCTTGAGGGGCAGGGCAGGAGACTGGTGAGGGGTGCCCAGGGGTGCCCTGTGTCATTGAATGCAAATGGCAGCCTCCTCCCAAAGGGAGTCTGCTTCTTCCAGAAGTGAGTCACTGATTCCAGAGGATTTCTGATAATCAGCCCTGGGCAGGGACGTTGTGTGTGTGACCCATGGGGACAGCTGAAGGGGGAGAAGCTCAGAAGGAAGATGGGGCACAAAGAGCCGTCAACCTCGGGCCAGCAGAGGGGACAGGAGGGTCATTACAGGGTGAGGAAAGGCATGGGCCCAGGAATGACCGTGACTGCCTGGGGGTTGCCAGGCTCCTGGCCTGGACAGGGCGCACCGTGCCACCTGGGGGGCAGTCTGTGGACCGAGCAGCGGCGTCCTGGGGTCTGCACTCTAGGAGCACAGAGAGGGGTGGGCAGGGGCCTGGTCAGCTGCGTGGAGTCACAGGCAGAAGTGGATATTCAGGAGGGTCCCAGGGCTCAGGGGTTGGCTGCTGTACAAAGTACCACAGAAATTTACGGTCTCACCGTCTGAATGTCAGACGCCGAGATCTACGCGTCAGCAAGGCCACATTCCTTCTGACGGCTCTGGGGGAGGGTCCTTCGTGCCTCCTCCAGCTCCTGGGGGCTGCCAGCATCCTTGGTGATCTTTGGCTTGTGGGCCGTGTCACTCTAGTCCCTGCCTCAGTTGTCACATGGCGTCCCTGTGTGTGTCAGTCTCTGCCTCTTGCCTTCTTAGGAAAGGACCCCGGTCACATCGCATTAGGGCCCGCCCCACCGCAGCACGACTTCCTCCTAACTGATTACATCTGCAGGTCCCCTAGTTCCAAATGAGGCCACGTTCCGAGGTTCTGGGAAGGACATAAATTTGGGGGGTACGCTATTAACCCAGTACAGCTGGTGTGAGGGGCTCATGTAAAAGGAGGCTGGGGACGGGCTCCTTGTCCCTGGTCCACATGCCGCCCTTCCGTGTCCTCCTCTCCCCATGGGTGGGGCATGTGCAGGGGCTGGCATGTCTGCCGAGGGCACCGGTGGGAGAACACGCTGACGTCTCCTGTGTTTCTCTTGCAACAGCCCAACATCGGCCGCCTGGGCCTGCCCCACGGGCCGTCTGGAGAGAAGGTGGCTGTGGTGACCGTGGACGACTGTGACACGGCCGTGGCCGTGCGCTTTGGCAGCTTCGTCGGAAACTACAGCTGTGCGGCCCAGGGCACTCAGAGCGGCTCCAAGAAGTGAGCAGCCCGGGAGGAGAGGCCCGGGCGTCCACCCCCATGGCCGCGGCTCCGAAAGGGTCACTCGGGCAGGACCCAGATGCAGGGCACCCCGGGGGCCCCACTCCAGGCTGGAGTCAGATTCCCTCCACTTGATGGGGGCATCTTCCCTCCAGCACATTAGAACCTTCTAGAATAAGTCCCCTTAGATGCATCTGCCAGCGTGGTGGCCAGACCAGCCCCAGGATTGTCATGGCCAGATTGCTAACCCAGGAAACAGTCTCCAGCCCTGTCTCCATGGGCTCGCTGGCTTCATTACACCAAGCACTGTCCTCTGTGTTTCAGTGTTTTGTCAGTAATCCCCTGCCATTAGGTCGGGGTGGCCGTGTCACCCTGCTGATCCATAAGTTTCTCAGGGCTCATCCTAACTCGGGAACAAGGGAATGCTGACAGACAGACGTCGTGGCTGTTCTCATGTTTCTCTGTTTGTAATGCCAGCTTCCAAAGCCGGAGCGAAGGTTCTTATTGGACTCTTTTCTGTTGTGCTTTGATGGGATATTTAAGAAGCATTTTGGGGACCACAGATGAACTTGACCTACCCTGAGAGTGTTCTATGGACCTGGGAGGGTCACACGCCTATTTCGTCTGACCCCCACCCCACTGTGACAGATGTGGGGTCATGCCCGTTTTGCTGATAAGGAAGCAGTGCCCAGAGAGATTGCACCCCTCGCCCAAGGTCACATGGCTGCCCATGCAGAACCAGCGTTCTGGTTTGCTGTGACCTCCGTTCAAGGTCACTGGAGGCTCGAGGAAGGTAGTGCCCCTGTTTGGCGCTGCATGTCCCATTTGGCGTGGACTGGCCCAGACGCTGAGCCAGACTCAGCAGGCAGCCACTGAAGCATCCAGTGCGTTGAGATGTGATGCACGTGTGGGGAAACTGAGGCACAGAGCGGCCGAAAGCCAGTGGTGGCACTGGAAGTAGGATCCGCCCTTTGTGATTTGATCTGTTGGCCCCCTGCCTCCCTGGCTCCCTGTTCGATTATTCACATTCAAGGTGACAAGTGTGCCTGGTGGCAAAGGCCATGTGATGTCACAGCAGTGTCGGGCACCTGTGGCCGCATCTCACCACGTAGCCGTCACCAGTGTCGGCTTTGCCTCCCCAGGTCCCTGGACCTGACCGGCCCTCTGCTCCTGGGGGGCGTCCCCAACCTGCCGGAAGCCTTCCCAGTGCACAACCGGCAGTTCGTGGGCTG